GATTGTTTTAGGAGAGGTTAGAAGGAATTCAGAAAAAAGAATGTTGATATATAAAGATATTTTCCAAGGACCAAATCTTAAGTTAGACTATGACATTACCATTGACCTGGTGATGGACTGTGATTTTCTCCCTGATTATAATTCTCCTCAACTCCAGTATCTTTTTTAGGAACATAGGGATAACTTGGTTCGTGGGCTCTCTTCCTCAACAAGTCAAGTTGAGCATAATAATAATCATAATGTCCACAGACTGCAGCAAGTTTGGGCCTTTCTATCATTTTCATCTGAGGGATAAAAAAAGATTTTTTGAAAAACATAAATCTATAATAATTGATAATTTGATAGCTACCATAACTAACACAAGGCACTGAAACTGTATTTTTATAGTTTTCGCTCTAGACTTGTTTTCAGAGTGAAATAATCTTAGAGTCTCCAAATCCAAGAGTTGAAAAAGACCTTAGAAGTCTAAGTACTGCGGTACAGTAGTCTGTAATTTTGCTAAGGTGTGGATATGAATCACACATACTTCATGGCTAGCATGCAAAAAATACTTACCTAGTGAGTATGCCTAGCCAACCCAAGATCTGAAATTAACTCAGAATTCTTGTTTTCTATTTTTCATAAGTTTAATTATACTTCACTATACTTTATGGGAGAATAAATGCTACTGTGCAACTCGCAAGTTTGAGGATTTGCAACGTATTTAGTTTCTGATAAATTGACTAAATGCCAAATGGCATCATGACTTGAAGAAAGGAAGATGCTGAGTCATTCAGCATCATTCTTTTGAAGAAAACACAAGGAAGGTCGTAGAAGAGCACTGATGGGCAAATTACTGTCATATTTAGTTTCTGATAAATTGACTAAATGCCAAATGGCATCATGACTTGAAGAAAGGAAGATGCTGAGTCATTCAGCGTCATTCTTTTGAAGAAAACACAAGGAAGGTCGTAGAAGAGCACTGATGGGCAAATTACTGTCCTAAGCTACTCCTCATCACCCTTCCCAACCAGAACTGAGTGAGAGGAGAACCAGAAACAAAAGTTTATCTCAGAGCTGAGTAGAGGCCTCTGAGCTAGAATAATGGGCTAGAATAATCAGACCAAATTAAGATATGAAAGCAGTCAAGACCTTGCTGCTAAAGAGCAAAGTAGGGCCAATTTAACTTTACATGTGACAACTCTGCCTACTTAACAGTTGATAATAAAAGTGAAAAAAGATAAACCACTGGAAAGACCAAGGAACTGATAGTTGGTAATATGAATAATAAACAAATGATTAAAACTGAAATGTCCTCATTGTAAAAAAGAACATGCTACATTCTTTGTTCTTTTAATGCTGTGTGGTTTATATGTATGTTAGATTGAACCATATGGAATTGTAGGTATTTGACCATCTTGAACCTACAAGTGGCACTTTCATATAGTTCTATTTAAATATTAAAGTAAATGTATAAAATTTGGTTTATTAATCTAGACATAAATTATATGTTTATTTTTAACATCTTTTAAAGTGAGTAATTTTCTTTGTTTTACAATTTCACCTGTATACAACCCATAAGAAGGTACTATTAATTACTTGTTAAAAAAATGGTTAGAAATAGGGCTGGTCAGTTAGCTTAGTTGGTTAGAGGGTGGTGTTGATAACACCAAGGTCAAGGGTTCAGATCCCCATACTGGCCAGCCACCAAAAAAAAAAAGTTAGAAATAGAGAAAAGTATTGGAAGGAAATAAACAGCTTCTTTAGGATTTTCTTCTAAAATCCCACACAGTAATGGGAATTTCAGAGGTGGAGACCCATTTATTTCACTGCATCAGCCAAAGCTTTTCAAAGGATTAGAACAAATGTCAACCTGCTCCACAGCTTTCCTAACTCAATCCGCCTTGAATCTTTCAGATGCTGTTTCCCTCCTACAGGTCTAACACAGTATCCTGAATCACAGCATACTCTAAAAATTCTTTAATAAAGTTAAGCCACATTTTATCAAATAGAGGGCAGTAATTTAACCAATAATTCCAAAAATCTCTATATATCAAGTAAACATTTAGTAAATATATTTCCAAATGGTCCTCTAATTATACCATAAGCCTTCTCTAAAAATATAATTCTTCAATTAAAAGGCAATATTCATCACTTTTATACCACAAGCATTGCACTAGCATGATCTAAAAAATTAAACACTGCTAAAGTGGATTCAAATAACTAAGCATACAGAATCCCTAGGGAAAGATCAATTATTCTATAATACAAACTTCTCAATTACATATACCACATTAGAATTAAGAGTATAAAATGCAGGGTACTTTCTGTCACTATGTTACCTACTTGTCCTATGCAGAAAAATTTTATTTATTCAAAGGAATTAGAAGTATTTCAGTTATAAAGAGAAAACTAAAACAAATATATGCTTCTGAGAAAACACGGCATTCTTTTTTAAAAATATAACAACTAGAAGTTGTCCAAAGAAGTACCACTTTAATTACCGAATGATTTTATTAGAAGTACAAAACTGATGAACTCCAAATTCATGATCCTGTACATTGTAAACATGTGCAGGTAGGTCTATCATAATACACCACAGCCAAAGAAACAAAGGGAGGTTTAGTACAACTTACAGAGACAGGTTTCTGGGCTCCGGCTGGTGGTCTCCATTCATGTCTACATAATATATCCTTCCTTTTCGTGGGCTCGGATATCCTTGATCTTGGTGGGCACTTTCCCTGGAATCTCACTTTCTGGATTTTAGAATCTTATTTAACCAAAATAAAACAACTTCAATTTTTAAAAATTTCTACACCTTTTATATTGATACTTGTAAGAGTATAAACATAAACTACATTTCATAACACAGTAAGTTTACTTTAGCCAGAGATATTTTACACACGGTGAGAGAAGTAGTAATGAAAAATTACTATGCATTATCTTTGCATAGAGAAAACCATTTTTCCAGGATTCTCTTACATATTTCCAGTAAGACATAACACTACTTTTAAAAAATTAGGAATTAATGTTAACATTTACAGAAACAATNCAGTCCATCCTCTCTGCTTCAGAAAAATAAGCTCACCTCATCCTCCCAGGTCTGTCTGTGAACCTTCTCCCACTCCACCCCTTCCCTACACAAAAGTTAAGTTTGGATTCAACTGCTTCAAGCATCTCTAGCATATCCTCTGCTTTGTGAAGGTTTCCTGACTAGTGAGAAGAAAGTTGCTGAATCCTCAGGTCACACACGAGCTAAATATACAAGTTTCAGGCACATCCACTAGGTGTCATTGGACAAGATTTTTCTCCTGCTTATACTGCTCATAGTTTTTAAATGTCCACGTTCAACATATTTGGTGGAATTTCCCTGCCAATGTTGCCAGCCTGCTATTAAAACTCACTGTGTGAGACACAACTAATCAATGCTTTCTGATTTCATGGTTAAATCATTCTCACCCCCGATCACCTTCCCAGCAGGTTGTGGTGCTGACGATCTTGCTCTGCTTTCAAGTGTGTGATTGAATTCTTCCTGAATGACCTAAAACCGTACACACGTGTCAAGGACCAACGGACCAAAATCTCTGCCAAAATCCATGCACCTCAAAACTCACCTCAGGAGTCAAGTATTTGGCAATTAGATTCTCTAAAAAGGGCCTTTTCAAAATGGAATTAACAGATGGTCGATCCCGAGGAGATACTTTAAAGAGCTGAGATATCAAGGACCGTAGGTCACAAGAAAACCTTGGCGATACTGGGGCAAAATGTGCTTGACAGATCTTCAGTACCAGCTGGTGTAAGTTATTACCCTCAAACTGAAAGGACAAGGAGCAATGATACTAAATCAGAGAAAAGTTAAGTACTAGCATCAAAGTAATAAGTAAACCAAGAAGCAAAACAATGTTTATAAGCTGCAGTTAGAAGCAATATGTTTTCATCGACTAATCTTTTGTGAGTAGATATTGCAGGCAGTTACTCAATGAGATGCCATGTTATTCAAAAACAAGGTTTTTTTTAGTTTTAATTTTTTCTTATTATCAAAATAACATTTACTCATTATTAAAAACTGGAAAGTATAGGAAGTTATAAGCAGTCCAGAAAGATATATATAATTTCACCACCCACAGGTGTATTTCCTTTTGGTCTTTTTAAAAATAATGTTTATTTTACAGAGTTGACATTATATTGATATACCAAATTTTACGTCTTGCTTTTTTTAAATTGGCATAAAATAAATATTTCCTCATTTCCTCAAAACTCTTCATAAAGCAGAAAATCTTCCATTGTATGAAACCATTAGCTATTTATATATAATAACAATGTTCAACACCATGATGTTGCACTAAAGGTACAGGTTTTGGTCAGATACTAGCTGTGTGGCCTTTGACAATGATAATGATAATAATAATAATAATAATAATAATAATGACAGCTGTGTAGAAAAGAGTTGACAAAGCAGGGTATCTTTGGAAAGACATGCTTACAATGTTGGCCCTTGACTGATATCTGGGAATTCAGCAGAATTCCTACCATTCCCTAAATGTAAGAGTGGCTCTCTTTGCCTAAACTATTCATGCAAATAATAAGATTGCTGGTGAACACCTGCTTTCTTTTTGGATTCTGTAATTTTGGTATGTCAGATGCCTATGTGACCAGTCCCTTATCAATAAAAACCCTGGGCATTGGATATCTAATGAGCTTCCCCCATAGATGCTATTTCACACATGTTGCCATAACTTGTTGCTAGAGGAATTAACACATCCTGTGTGACAACTGGGAGAAGACTCTTAGAAACTTGCATCTGGTTGTCTACAGACTTTTCCCTTTGTTGAATATTTATATTTAAAGACAATTTATTTTTAATGGAAATATGCTCCATAAACTATTCTCCAACTTGGACTTTTTACTTTATAATATTGCTTAGACATCATTCCATGTCAGGACATACAGATCTATCATTCTTTCTAATATCCTGTCCATATAATTTTTTAACAATCTAGTGAAACCAAACATTAACTTTTTTTCTCCCAGAAGTTAATTTCATTTATATGATTCCAATCACTCAAGATTATTCTGACGATTAACATACTTACCGGATGCTTGAGTGTGCAGAGCTCATATAAGACACAGCCAAGAGACCAAATATCCCTAGAGAAGACAAGAGTTTACATGCCAAGAAAATGTCCATAATTCTTAATAAAAGCTTTATCCTTCTAGTACCTTACATTTGTGTAGCTTTCTAATTTTATATAGGCTGATCAGTTTTTACAAATGTTTTCAGATGTATTATCAAGAATCAGATATATTATTCTTACCAAGATAAGAAGTAAAATAAAAACCAGTTGTAGTCTGTCAGAACCCTAGCAAACAAAAGGTATACAAACTTTGCTACAATCTGATGGCTCAGTATCTACTTCAACTTCACATGTTCAAACAAAATGTGTGTATGATGAAATTTTGAGCAATTTGGTGAGTGGCAGGACTCAAAGGAATTTGTTTTATCTCAAAAAGATAAAATATGGTTGATTTTCAAAGGTGTATTCTGTCCAAGTCTCTTGACAGAACCAAAGTTATATTAAGTGATGAACATAGTGTCTGGTTCTCAATAAACATTTGAAAAACGTACTTACAATATAACTTGAGCTTTGCTCCTTACAGATTTAGTAGTTAGTAAATATTTATATGTGGGTGGTTTAATAAAAAGTTATTTTATAGGGAAAAATACATAATTAAATATAAAAGACGAAGGAAAATATAATGAGAAGTCAAGGAGGTGGTCAAAGAGAGAAAACAAGAAGAATTCATTAAAGTGAGGCTAAGGGCTCAACTAGTTAGCAATGCTTACTGTGTGTGTGTGTGTGTGTGTGTGTGTGTGAGAGAGAGAGAGAGAGAGAGAGAGACACTAAAGGTTTGGGTGCAATAGAGGGTGATTGCAGAATTTGAAGGAAACAAATTTGAACTGCTTTCTAGAGTTTCTAGGAATTCATTCACCATTTGTCATCACACAGAATTTTGTCTTTTCTAGTCTTCCTCTTCGGTTCCCAGAGCACCCTCTGTAGCCAGTGTGGTGAATTCATACGCCTACAGAGCTCAGGCCGGTAATGAAGATGCCATTTGCACACCTGATACCCACCTCTGTGTGTTGAGGACTATGGTGAAGGAGGGAATAGCTTGCTCATCTAAAGGGGCCAGCGGCTACTTAGCTGATTATTGCTAAGATCTTCCAATTTCCAGAAGTACCAAATCTTCATGTTTTAAAATATTTCAATGTGTAAATGCTGAATAAAATTCTTTAAAAAGCAATACAAGGAAGTCAAATGATGCTGCTGACCCAGGGCTCTCAGCTCTGCTCTACACAGCCTACGTCCCCTCCAGCACTTCCCTGCCCGCATTACTGCACACGTTGAGGCCAGACTCCTGGCACCACAGGATGTCTCAAAAAATGCCCGTTACTTTATTATGCAGAGGAACTTTTACCATTTTTTTCAAGCTCCTATTCCATCTCCCCAGCTCAAAAAATTCATTTAATATACTGTCTTCAGATATAGGACATATCAGATATGAAACTGATAAGAACAAACACTACACTTGATCTTTTACTATTCTTTTTGTAAATCTCTACTATCAGGCTTTGCCTTCATTTTATCTCTTTCAAAGTCCAGCAGCAAATATCACACGGGCATTTTCCTAAATAAATGGACAATTAACACCCAAAGGGAACTCAGTCTTCTTTCTAGGCCAACATGTTCAATGGCAGCCAGCTTTGAAAAACGAAATTTTTACTTCTCCTTACATAGAGGTAAAAAGTACCTCATCCTCACCCTTTTTATATTGTATATTAATATAAATTATTGGTGTATGTATTTATTGGTGTATATATTACTGCTGAGAACTCTAATATCACATACATAAAAAGTAGTCAGGTTTTAAAGCTGGAAGACACCTTAAAAATTACCTAGCCAACTGTCTTGTTGTTATAGGTTGGGAAACTGAGGCCCACAGAGGTCAACTGGCTTGGCAAGTTAGTGACTGAGCCAAGACTAGGAGTCCTAGCTCCTAATCCAGTGCTCAATCACCAGACCACACTGCCTTCCACCCGACCTGTCTACATTTCCCTGCAATAGACTAAAGAGTGCTTAAAAGGCATGAAAATAAATTATGAAGATGGACTTCAAAGTGTCTGCAATTTTCACTGCTATTCTTTGTGTTGCTTGTATCTTTAAATAAAGAGAAGTGGCTTTCTTCTAAATAAGTGCAAAAGCTTCAGGGAACACTGGTCAGAGGTAATCACTGGGATCCCCATTTCACATATGAAGAAAATGAAATTACAAAAATACCATAAGAAAAAGAGAAGGGATTAGAACTTTAGTTTCTGGAATCTTAATTCAGTATCATCCATCAGATTTTACTGACAGTTTCAAACACATAGTCAGCAACTTACGTTTTATTATTGTAGGGTTTATTTTGACAGATCTCTGGGGACAGGTAGTAAGGTGTTCCAACACATGTTCGAGCAAGTTCCATGGAACTAGTAAATTATGTTAAATAATAAAATAGCAGGGTTTATTATTGGAGTAAGAAAAGACAACACAGATATGTAAGAAAAAAGTATAAAAATGGAAACACAAAATTTGATACATGCACATATTAGAAGAAAGCAAAGCATTGTATACTGATAACAGAGTAATAAAATCCATTGATTTTTAAACATATATAACTCACACCCCCAAGTTTACACATTAAAATACATTTTTTATGGCATAAAGACTCCACAAAAAGATAAATTATTACATTATAAAAATTTCTCAGACATAGGGCCGGCTGGGTGGCACACTGCTACAGTGCACTGCTTGGGAGCGCGACGGCGCTCCTGCCGAGGGTTTGGATCCCACATACAGACTGGTTCCCGCTCACTGGCTGAGCGAGGTTTGGGCGCAACCCCGAGGGTTGCGATCCCGTTGCCGGTCCCATTCCGGTACGGGTGCGACACTGAGGGTTGCGATCCGTTGCCGGACACGGAAAAAGACAAAAAAAAAAAAAAAAAATTTCTCAGACATAGAAAGACTCCCCTCTTTTCAATTATCAAAAGAACACAATCTCATGATTTAGAGTTTGGAAAATATGAAGTGAATAAAGGAGAAATATTTACCCAGAATCTTAGCACTCAAAAACAACTACTGTTAAAATTCTGATATATTTCCTTCCAGTCTTTTTTCCATGCGTATTTTTCACATAGCTTGGATCACAGTGGACTTAAAATTCAGAACTCTGTTTTCTGTACTGACTATAACACAGTATTTCCTTACGTTATCAAAAAGTCTTCAAAACCATAAATGTTTTTGATGATGTAATATACTCAGGTACATGGCTATGCCAAGTTTTATTAAGATAACCATTTCACGATTATTAGACATTTAAGTTATTCCAAATTTCAAATTATTTCCTTGGAACAAATTTCCAGAAATATAACATTTAAAAATCTCTTGATATATATTACTACCAAATTGTCTTCCAAAATACTTGCAGCAATTTATTCCCCTGGCAACTGTAAACCTGCCTGTTTCACTAAATTCTCACTAGCTTTATGCATTTCATGTCACATCTCATATTTGGTAAACTTGTATCACACTACATAACATTACCTCCCTCATTCTATTATGCCACAATTTATCTTCGAAATTTTAATCTCAGACAAAGTACCATCTGATGATTTAATTCATTTATAGAAAGTTACCTAAAATTATTGAGACAACAAGCTTCTAACATCTTCTCAACTCATGATTCCTAAAAATACATATTTTGGCGGTTTTGAATAGAAAGAAAAATGATTTTTAAAAGCACTTACTTATTCAGGACTGTTGCTATACCAAAGTCACCAAGCTTTGCAACCATTCCATTCTTGCTAAGAAAAATGTTCTATAAATGGAGAAAATGTTATGTTCTTTGAGATACTTCAAGGAAAAAAAAAGATCAGTTCTGTCTTGGTCTTCTCTCTGAGCTATTACCTGAGCTTTTATGTCCCTGTGTAATATCTTCCTGTCATGAATATGTTTTAGTCCTAGAGAAATCTGTACAAACCAATCCAGGATCTGCAGAGGGAACACAACACAAAACTATTGAATAGTCTGGCAGTCATTCAGATGACTTCATGATAACATGCAAAAAGAGAAAAATAGTATTTTGTGTGTGTGTGTGTATTTATAGGAGTGAAGCTAATAGATATACCTTATTACATTATTTCCATTTTACAGCTAGAAAAATGGAGGCACAGAGAGACAACCCAGATATCATTGGTATCAAAGGGAATTCCACATGCAGAAAAAGAAATGGAAGCAAGAGAGAGAAGAAAGCCATTCCTGATTTTCTTTTTTCTTCATTAACACCAAGTTGCTAACTGCATCGGGTATGTAGACAACAGCCCTGTTTCCTGATAACCCAGGCACCACTGGTTTTTCCTTTCCAGTGATGGAGGGCACCGAGGGAGGGGAGAGAAAGCAGAAAAAGTGGAGAGTCCATGAGGCTGTTGGAAATTGTAATGAAATACCTATCTACATAACTATCTGATATAAAACCAACAAACATTTTACTTTTAAAACTTAATTTTATTTCTAAGTCATGATTTTATTTGATCATAGTTGGCCTTGAGCCTCTTTATTAAAATATTTTCTATGCCTATAGAGATTTACTTAAACTATTCTAAAATTTCACTAGTTCTTTGAAAAATTATACAGGATGAGAGAGAGAGAAAAAAAAAAGCTATATTCCAGACATTAAGATTCAGTTGTAATTTTAGTTCCTTCCCAACAAAGGGAAATGGAATTCAACATTTTGTCATGGAAAGCACTTTTACAAAAGGTGGCAAAATAATACCTAAATAAGAAGAAAGGAGGGTTTCTATAAACAAGTACTTTAACATAAAATGTAAATCAGCATAGGAAGAATATTTGATTAAATTTACAGAGGTTAGGATTATTGATTCTTTAATCATTCATAAATTCAAAATATTCAGCTTTAACACTAGGGGAAAATTATAGGTGCCTGGTGCTCTTAAATGCTAAAACAGAACAAAGAAACAACAAACTGAAAGAAAGATGGTGGGCCATTCCTGTGTGCTCCTTGAGGCAATGGTCTTACCCATCAATCACAAAGACCCTAATTTGGATTTCTCTCCACACACACATATCTGTCTCCTTTAAGAGTACCACTTCAAAGAGGGTTCCAAAGGGGGCTTGGACTATTGAATAAAAATGTATTTGTGCAAATAGAAAATGGGAATTGAGACCATTATTCTTCACATTTTCTTTCCCTCCTCTTAATAGCTAATGAAACTAATAGGCATTGCTAAGACGATCTTCTATCCTCCCTAGCAAAGTGGGATGACTATTTTAAAAGAGTACCAAATGGTAAAAAAAAAAAAAAAGAGTAAAGCTGTAAATATATCACATTTAAAATGGCTAAGGAACATCCACATTTTGAATTTTTTTTAGCCACGAAGATTTATCTCAGAGGCATCCTACACAAGATTGTCCAAAGAGACTATCTTTTCTCAAGAAAACTTCACTCTCAAAAAGAGATTCAGTTTAAGTTCAATTGCAAACCTGTTCTGGACTAAATCTAACAAGAATGTTGATCCACTATTTATGGCTTGGATTTCTCTACCAAAAATCACACTTCATATAAACACAGTCTACTACTTATAACATTATAAATTTAACACACACACACACACACACACACAAATTAAAAAGCAAATTAGAAGGTTTTTACCTGATCTTCACTAAATAACACTCCTTGTTGTCTATTGATCCTTTTCATGAGATCTTCTCCATCACAATATTCCATTACAATAAACAGCCTACCGTTCTCTGTAAGAAAAGGCATCATTTGGTGCCAGAAGGGTTTCAGATATTTATCAGTCATTTGCCTTTCAAGTTCTAGACTGTGGAGAATATAACAGAAAAATGCAGTTTGTAATGATTAAAAACTCTGGCTGTGGAATCAAGATGGACTGGGTTCTAGGGCCGGCCCATGGCTCACTTGGGAGAGTGCGGTGCTGATAACACCAAGGCCCCAGGTTCGGCTCCCATATAGGGATGGCCGGTTTGCTCACTGGCTGAGCGTGGTGCTGACAACACCAAGCCAAGGGTTAAGATCCCCTTACCAGTCATCTTTTTAAATTAAAAAAAAAAAAAAAGATGGACTGGGTTCTAGGGCCGGCCCATGGCTCACTTGGGAGAGCCTGGTGCTGACAACACCAAGCCAAGGGTTAAGATCCCCTTACCAGTCATCTTTTTAAATTAAAAAAAAAAAAAAAGATGGACTGGGTTCTAGGGCCGGCCCATGGCTCACTTGGGAGAGCCTGGTGCTGACAACACCAAGCCAAGGGTTAAGATCCCCTTACCAGTCATCTTTTTAAATTAAAAAAAAAAAAAAAAAAGATGGACTAGGTTCTAATGTCGCTCCACCATTTACATTTCTTGGCTCTGTGACTCTGGGCAAGTTACTTTAATTTCTCTGTGCCTCATTACCTGGACACAGAGCTGTAACCAGCAGGACCCCTGTATTCAGCAGGATTCCCTCCCCTCCACCCCCCCATATTTGATTCCTCTCTAGGGCTGGAGCAGGCCTCAGCCTTAGAAGAGGTTTGCAAGACAAACTGCAAATTTTCTGGCTGAATGCCCAGAAATAGAAGTACACTTGCCTAACAACAGAGATAAGCACTAGACTGGCTGAGCATGCATTTCTTTGAGTTCCTTCCTTTCTCATGGTCACTAGATATTTTGCTCCTTGGCAACAGGGCAGGATAACATTATTTACGTGAATATTTATTTAGCCGTCTTCCGGAACACCTGCAGCTGTGACCTTGCTGAGAAGTATGTACCATGAAGACCTCCGAGGGACCAAGGAAGACATCAATCAAATGCACCACGGGTCAATTAAAATCCTGTGCAATCCCCAAGGCCCTCATCCAAACTTTTGCATTATAAATGCTTATAATTCTGGGGCTTCAGGGACTTCAGGTCTTTACAGCATTAGCCGTCCTGTTCTCCTTGGCTGTCATCTTCCAATAAATGCTAATCTCTACTGATGCAAATCTCGGTGTTCGGATTCATTGACCGGGATGCCTGTAGGTGGGGCGAAGTCACTAAGGTTCTGTAACAACCTTACTTGTAAAATGGAAATAATGATACTGAAACTTCCTCTTAGACTTCCCTGGGGCCTCACCAGGGTCCTGAGGTCTGAAACCTGGGGAAGCTGAACTCAGCTGTAACTAGGTAAGCTTCCGCCACTGCCCCAGGCCGCACTGGGGTCCCGAGATATGCAGCCGGAGAAAGGCGAAACCAGTTGCAACCAGGTAAAGAGTACACCAAAAACACCATTTCCACACAGGTAGCCCACCATAGCCACTGCAATTGCCATGGCTGCTACAAAAATGGCTATTCTCTGTAGCAGCAGTCACAGCCACCGTGCAGATGGCATGCCAGACTCTCAAATGCATTGACACAAGGAGAGGCATCAGCGGAGACCAAAAAAACCAAAAACTCAAAAAAAGAAAGAAGAGATCCTCCCTCTCCACAAATCACACTCCAGAGTAATAGAAGCATCTGATTTACAATAAGAGTGGAGGACTTGATCACACCTGTCTCAGTACTGGACAGATCATCTAGGCAACAAACCAACAGAGGAACAGTTAATCTATCAGATGCAGAGAACAGGTCTATGGTTATTAGAGGGGGGAGGGGAAGAGGGAGGGTGGAGATTGGATAAGAGGCATAAATAAGTATGATTTGTAACAATGAATATGCTAATAAAAATAAATTTAAAACAAATTAAAAAAAGAAATTGGTTAATGGACACAAAGAATGATTACCCTTTCGTAATGATGAATATGCTAATTATCATGTTCCTATCAGCACTCATTGTACACAGGTATTGATATTCAACTCTGTACTCCACAAATATATTTAAAAAAAAAAAAAAAGAAACCTCCTCTTTGGATTGTTGGAAAGATTCAATTAGTTAATCCACGTCAGATGCTTAGAACAAGTCTCGCACATAATGAGAGTTCAATAAATGTTAGCTATAATTATTAATGTATACAAGAGATTAGAAAGCTACTATAAAAATAGCAGCTGTGAATCTTTCCCAGCATCCCAGGAAGAATTAATAGCCCCTTCCTGAATTTGGGTATAAACTTGTATTTATATGGCACTTATTCAACCAAGTTGTTGAGTACAATAGAAACTCTTCTAACTGACCTCTGCCTAATTACTCACTGGATCACCAGAGCTCTCCGTTACCGCTGCCTGCTCAAGGTGGCCATGAAAGGCTGGTAGACTCTACAGTACACCCAAGTACCTCTGCTTCCATGAATTAAACTGACTCTTAAAAGATCATCGGTTATTCCCAAATCTGTTTATGCCATTTATATGAGAGTACTTCGAAAAGTTCATGGAAAGACTCGTATTATCTTTTAATTCTACTTTTCCACAGGCTTTTTGAAGTACGCTTGTACTTATTGTATTATTACATAAATGGATGAAATATAAATAGAAAAAGAAAATATGATTATTTCTACAAAAACTACATTGAGGAGATCCAGTCAAGATGGCGGAATAGACGGTTCCCAGCGTCACTCTCTCCCACAAATCAACCAATTTACAACTATAAAAATGTAACATCAGCCAAGCTGGGGCCGCTGGAGCTCAGGGGCAGAGGAGGAGAGACCTACGGAGTTCATGAAGGTGGGAGAAACTACGATGGGAGAAAGAAAAAACTGCTCTGAGCATTTTGGGCCACGGCTGCTTTAAGGCTCCTGGTGCTGAGCGCATGGAGCAAGAGCTGGCAGAAGCTGCAGCTGTGCCCTTCAGATGGAGTTACTTGGAGGTGGCAGAGGAGAAGAGGGCCTTGGTGGCCCCCAGGACAGCAAGACCACTAATAGGGTTCCCGTGGACCCAC